GGGGCAGGGTGCCAAGGGGTCTGGGTCAGATTATGAGCAGCCTTGCCTAGGTCAGGGGCACCAAGGGACTGAGACAGGGCAAAGGCACCAGGGGTCTGAGACACAGAGGGGCGTGGAGAAAGCCAGGCCAGAATGAGTGGGCCAGGGCTGGAGATCTGCAGCCAGAACAATGGTGGGCTAAAGCCAAGAGGGCTGATGCCCCTACAGAGGCAAAGACCAGAAAAATAACATCCATGAGATATAGGCATGGCTGTAGGGGAGGAAGGAGACCACAAATGTAGCCCTTAAGGCAAGTAGGGCCAGGGGGTCAGAAGTCCCAAGGCCAAGAGACTGTGGGCGGTGGGTCAGAACGCAAATTAGGCAGGCCAAGTTGAGCCCAAGAGAAGAACTGAATATAGAGAGGGCATTCAGAACTCACCAGCCTTTGAGGGCAGCCTCCCCTCATTATCTTTAACATCAAGGTGTGGCAGGAGAGGAAACAGGGTGATACCCCAAGAGGCTGGAACAGGTGAGCCAGAGGATTAAGGCAGCCAGTAGGGGGCTTCATGGCTACCCCTAGGGCACATCCTGTCACATTCCTACCTGTACAATGACATGAATAGTGCCCATATTGCCAAAACACAGCTGTACTAATGGCTGTGAGCTGCTAAGGAGTGGTAATTTGTTTCATCTTTGAAGTCACTCTGGCAGTGGAACAGAAGGGACATTGGAGGTGGAGTTCAGTGTCATCACCTACTTGTTTGCAACCCAAACACATAGGCAGGATTTCCTGACACCTAAACATTAGTTATGAGAATTGGTGGAAAGGAGTTATTTATAGACTGGATATCTGGGGGATGTGGGGAAATGAGAAGTGGGAAGGCAGGAAGGTCCATGGAAAGATTTTTACTTTACAAAGGTATCTATCAATGAAGAATAGTTGTTACTCAATGGTGGAGAAACAATAAGCTAAATGTACCCATGGTATAAACCCATCCCCTGTATTACTTCAGAACACTGGATGGAGCTAATGTGAAGAGCACCTTATTCAGGTCACAGAGTGGGTTTTCAGTTGCAATGTCTAGAACCAGTTCTGTCCAGCACAGAACCCAATTCATTTGCTGTTTGAGTAATAAGTTCCTACACGTAACTCTGACTACTGGCTTCTTAGATATCATTAGCAACATTTCTGGTGAATTCCTGGTGAATTACACCAGTGTAAAGCAGAAGCTTCCCCAGTGAAAGCCACATTCAATCACTGTAAATGGAGCACAAAAACAGGCCTATAGATTGTGTACCTTGCAGTTCCCTCATGGTAGGCAGGTGGCAGCTTTGCAAGGTGGGCCAAATGGAATAAGTGCCCTTCGCTAAGATGATCACAGTTGCTATGCTTTCTTTGGTTGCCTTATAATTACACTAGTGGCATGTTACAGTTCTGAGCCACAGCCTATTAGTCTGAATAGCCATAAGACATTTAAATGCTCATGCCCATGCTGCTCATAATGGGAAAACTTGAAAAGGTTCAGAGTTTCATTTTACAGAAATACTTGACAACTATATCTAAAGATATTGACCGGGTGATTCACGGGGAAGGGATATGGGGGCAGACATGGCATGACAATTATATCCTTCCATATATCCTTCAGCTGAGTGAACACTCAGCTGAAATAACACATCCATCTCAGAAGCTTTACCTTATGGGTTGGCACAGGTGTATATTATCACCAGTCTCTGACCTTCGGGCCACACTATGGATATACCTTTATGCTTTCAAGACCTGACGCTACGCTTTGCAGTAATAGCCTGCTGTTCCTTCAGTTCCCCTCTGTTTTGCTCCATCTAATTGTCCATGGCAGCATCAACATCTAGAACTACTCGATCCTCAGCAGCCAAAGATGCTGCAGGGCTCTGGGCACAACCTGCCTTCTTTCATTTTCTTCGTGGTCTCTAATGTACAACAGGCAAGTTGGATAGTGGCAGCAATACAGCCAGAAGAGCGGGAAGGCCAGCTTCAAGTCTTCTTTGAAACCTTGTACCAGTAGGTGACGAGCTACACAACTACCATGCATGCCCTTTAGCTTTGCTTAATTTGCTCATCAGCACTTTTTGTGAGTGGAGATCCCAAGAGAATGAGTAACTCAGCTTCCAAACCTGAAACCTCAAGGACCTCAAGCTCAGGTAGTAGCAACCTCTGGAGGGAAAGGACAGCATGTCTCTTTCAGCATGGATGGCTGTCCCTGCAAAAAGTTAATGATGTAGCCATATGCCACAGACAAGGCATAGTAGACTACATTCTGACCCATGCTGGTACAGAAGGGGAGCAAGCAGGCATTGACAGAGACTCTAGTGAGTAACACTGACTTGGATTATTCTTAACGTACACGATACCCTGTTCAGCCTGCATTAGCCTGTTGTTGTCTCCTGTTCGGCAAATTCTTGGTTGGGAATAAGACATATCTACTTGGGGCTTCCATTTGAACAATTCTCTTCTCTCTGATTTTGGGTTAACAAGAAGAAAAGTCAACACTTTGGTAGCATTTGTAAGCAATGCAGTTCTGGTGAAATGCCTATTTACAGTTAGACTTACTCTTTCTTAACAGGTCCATCTAGAGCACCTTTTGCTCCAGGCGAGAACAGCCACACACCCCCTCAACAAATGCTAGCACCAATAGGCAAACCATCTCTTCACTTCCTTCTGAAGGTTCAGCTGTCCTGAAGCTTGAGGTCCATAAGTGAGGTCCTGACACCCAATGAGGAGACGAAAAACAGAGAGTGTCTGGTAAAGTATATGCTAGGAAGAGTTACATTTTGATGCATAAGACTTTCTCTTCGTAGTGTGTGTCTTGGACATGGCACATATTGTAGGCTTCCCTGGATGTGTTAACCCAGAGAGCTATGATAGTGGCAAAATGTGAACGAGGTTGTCCTGAATCTTTTGAACGTTGTCTAGCTGGAGGGAAAGGGGGAGGTCAGGGCAGTGAAGAAATGGGAAGAAACTGCAGTGCTCATGTGCCAAAGGGAAAGGAGCCTATTGACCTTTAAAAGTGAATACCTCCAAGGCAGGCATGACAGGATGTTGAAATGGGAAGAGCAAGGATTATGTCAGTGTCATGTGTTTCCTTTCTCCACAGCTGCAGCTTGATGGGAGTAACAGAGTAACATCACCACAGCTACATTCTGTGGCCATGCAGGGCGGAGAAGCATTCAGCCAGCTACCTGCTGCCTACCAAGGGCTTAAACCCATCCATCTACAAAGGGCATGTTAGTATGGGTGGCTCTGTTGTGGGCAGGCCACAGAATAAACCTTCCTCTGCACTCTCATCACCTTTGAGAAAATGTGTTTAGTCTCCTGACTACTCCCCAAGAAGACAACATTGGGTGGAAGCATGTCAGAGAGGAGAGGACTTAGAAGAGACTGGCATTGTGAGGAGAAGAGAAGACTTCATATGGCCATGTTCAACAGGATGACATATCATTTTGGACAAGCGGACTCAGCAGGATAAGAACAAAGAGCTCATTAGGAATGATTTCTTTGTTCATGTGCTCTGAGGGCTGACCACAGGTGCTGAATTAGGATTTCAGCTTGTCTTTTTTGTGTGTGTGTGTTTTCCCCTCCTGCTTCATGAAAACAGACCTTTCAGGATGATGCAAAGCTAAGAGCAAGACCTTTTATACTAGCTTCGTGGAGTGATGGACACTGTGCATGAGGGAAAGAATGAAACTTCTACTTGAGTCCTCTCCAAGGGGGTGAACAGCTGATGAACAAATATGCTTTTTCGACCTGATGCTGCCAAACAAGAGCAGGTGCCTAGATTACAGTAATTAAAATATGCCTGTTTCAGATGCATCCAGAAGTTCTTTGTCTTCATGGTTGTAATACCTGCATAGTGCCTCAGTTGCTATGTACATAGGAGCAATTAGTGTCCAGCAAAACAGTCCTTTACGGGCCACAGGATGCTTCATGTCAGCAGACAGCAGGTAGTAGGGCTAGTTCCTTCTTTCCTAGATTTTCTGATTCAGGTACCTTTTTGCATGAAGGGCAATGCTTTTTTGATAGGACTGAGTGCACACCCTCAGAAAACCCCATACAGGGCTGTATATCCACTTCACAGTTGCCCTAGAGCCATATACTTTTAATTTTTGTTCAGCCACATGACGGCTGTGTAAAGGATACAGTATAGCTATCTTGGTCTCAGAGTAGAGCGTGTTAGAAGAACAGGTTATTGTCCCAGGTTTTCTGCAAACAGCCCCTGTCTACTCTGAATGAAGACTAACTAACACTGGAGAGAATCTCAACATTGCTTTCGCTGCTTGTGTTCTCTCCTACACGCCGTAGAGTTTGCTACCTGCTTTCTTTCCATTGACACCAATTTGACTCCTAAAGTACACATTGTGTGTACTGAAGCATCCCTTAGAATAGCAGCTGGTGACAAATTGGGGAGCACTTTGGGCTCCTTTCATATGTCCCTTCTGTCATTTTGCCACCCCACAGAGAATTAATGGCCATAATGATCCATTGTTCTTGACTTCACCAGGTGTTACCAGTCACCTGTAAAGTAACAGTGAGAATAATTGGGCAATTTTGCTGTCTGATAGGGGTTCCTATTTCACAACACCTGTCTATCTGCTTCTGAGCCCCAAGCCCTGTGCCTGTCATGCTCTTTTTAATTTTCACCAGCCTCTGACACCTGGGACTGTCCTGGCCTATCTGGAATGTATAGTCACCCTACTTATGCATCATTTAATCTAGTATCCTACCATCAACAGCAACCAAAACCAGCTGCCTCAGAAGACGATGCCAGGACCACTATAGGTAGGACTTACAAGATAACCTGGGAGGGTTCCCTCTAACCTCAGAGACAGAGGTTGACTCAAATGCTGTAAGTAGAAGGTCTATAGCTCCTTTTTAAATCTCTTGGTTGGTTTTTTTTGTGTTTTTTTTTTAAACTCCTCAGTAGTATCATGCTGGTTGGTCTTGCTATGATCTATAAAAAAGCTCAGTACTGTTTTGTAATAGGCTGTGCTCTTGACCTCAGCAGATCCTTATGGCAGCAAGTCCATAGGCTGCCTGGGTTCAAAATAAAAAAAGTATTACCTTGCCTCGTTTTTAAGTCTTGCAGCCTCTTCCCTTTTGTTTTTTCTTTCACTGGTGGTACATATGGTAAAAAAGGAAAGGCATTTGGAAGCTTTTAGTCTCCCTTTTCTGTCTCATTTCTTATTCTGCATCTCTTAACCCTATGTTCTCTTATCTATCCCGTCTGTACATGAGCATCCCTGTCCATATAAATAACACAAGAGAAGACAAAAATTAAAGCAGGAAGAAGAGGAGAGAGAGAACAGAAGGACTGATTTGCAGCTGTTATTCAGCAGACTGGCTCTACCCAGTGCATGCACTCTGACTTAATTTGTTTACACTGCTCACAAACAAAGTGCAGCTCACATCAGCCACTCCCAAGCCATCTGAGGGTGAAGTTACATGTTACACTTAGACCATACTAAGGGCACTTAAAATGTAAGTGTCTGCATGTTAAAGCTCATTAACTTGTACTAAATACTTTCTGAGGGCATTTGACTGGCTGCAGATCCACCACTTCAGAGTGGACTCAATTAACTGAGTCTGCTGTGCATGGGAGCTGATGCACACTGCGCTGTGCAGCTTGCAGTTGTATAAGCAGTGAAATTTGCATCAGTGCAGAGAAAATGGCAGTGGCGTGCTTTTGAACTAAAGCACCACCTCTTTGGCACTTGTACTCATAAAAATACCCCTTGAGTCTCAAAGTTATGCCACTTTAGGGGAGGGGTAAGTCTGAAGCATGCTACCTAGCTTGTATTAGAGTAACTTCAGTTTGCTCCACAGAGGAAAAATGAGCAATTTGCCATCATCCAGCATCCCAGATACATGAATTCCTGCCCCCCTCCAGCAGGGATAGAGTTCAGGTGTCCTGGTTCCTATCCACACCCCTGCTCACCAGCTTTTTTAGTGGTTCTAGTTAGAGCTCTGAAGGCAAGAAACAGTATTAACCCTTAATGTGCAACTACTCATAGCATGTTACAACTTAAACACTGTTTAACACAATTCACAGATTTAGTATCATCCAAATGTAATGTGTAACTTCACCCTGACAATCTGTGATTTATGGTCTCTGGGAAGCCATTTGAGTCAACAGTGACTCTCAGTTTTCTAATCAAAGACTCTCCTTACTTTATCCTCTGCCTCTGTAGGGAGCATTTTCCTCCCTGATCATGCACTATCTCCTAAGCTCACTCACAAGTAAACTCCACTTTAAAAGACATTTCTTAAGGCTCCCCAAGGCAAAGTTCCTGAGTTGCAAGTTCAACATCACTGTGATTCCAGAGCTGGGAAAATTGCTGCCATGTGGAAGGGACATCTAGATATCAACAACCACAGCCAAAGTCCACATATAGTCTTTGCCTATTGGGTTAGATTGGTCATACTCCACACTCTAGCACCTGCTGATGACTGGATCTGCCAGCAGACTTGGATTTTTCCATTTGCAGCTACAGTGACTTTTCAGGGACACCAGTATATTTCTGTGCCATGGGAGTGGAGGCCTTGAGGCATCTACAAGCTTTAGAGTAATAAAAATCGTAGAATCATAGATAATGAGGGCTGGAAGTTCATCTGATCCAACCCCCTGCTCAAAGCAGGATCACCCCAACTATATTATCCCAGCCAAGGCTTTGTCTAGCCGGGTCTTAAAAACCTCCAAGGATGGAGATTCTACCAGCTGTCTGGGTAACCTGTTCCAGTGTTTTACTACCTTCCTAGTGGGAAACATTTTCCTAATCTCTAACCTGAACTTCGCTTGATGCATCTTGAGACCATTGCTCCTTGTTCTGTCATCTGCCACTACTGACAACAGTCTAGCTCCTTTCTCTTTGTAACCACCCTTCAAGTAGTTGAAGGCTGTTATTAATTCTCCCTCAGTCTTCTCTTCTCCAGACTGGGCATGTGTAGACGAAACGGGGGCCCTAAATTGAAGCAGTGGGTTTTTAAACCCACCGCTTCAATTAGGGCCCTTAAAACCCCTGTGTCGTGCACACACCTGTGGTGGGGGGGGAGGAGGGGGGGGGGGGGTGCTTCCCTCCACAGCAGGAGGGTAGTTCCTGGCATAGAAGGGAGGGCCTTGGGCCCTAGTGGGCTAAAATGTCTTCAGTACACTGCCCTCCATTCATTTTACCCAATGACTATTGCATGCGAGGGACAAGTGGCTCAGCTTCAAAGGGAGTGGTGGGAAGATCTCAATAATGCCTTGCCTATAGTATAGTGAAGTGTGCTATACTGGGAAGTTACAAAGATCTAGGTTTAAATGCCAATCCATGGGTGCCTATAGACGTGTTCCATCACTTTCTAATTATAACTTCTCAGAGCAGACTCGATTAATTGAGTGTGCTCTGTGGTCTAATTAGAACACTCCAGAGTCACCTCACTGTCACATGTATTAAGCTCTGCGCATTTGAAAATGGGTGCTTTATCTAAACCTCATCCAATGAACTTTAGATAAAGCATCCCACGGCCATTTTGAAATGTGCAGGGGCTTGATACACGTGATGGTGAGCCATTTTAATTAGAATGGCTATCTGGAATTCCTCTAATTAAAATGTCTCCCTCCCTCCTCAAGCATGTGTATAGGCACCCCAAGTCTCTAGCTTCCTAAGAAAGTGTCTGAATTACTTGGTTACTGAGACTAAATGATGGCAGCACACTCCTCCTCCCACCTGTCATTTTTTTCCTGGAACTTGGGGAAGTCTGTAGGCTTGTACATGTGTGTAGTATATGCATAGTCTTGCTCATCCGAAGCATAAAGCCGAGACCAAACACTGCTATGTAGATAACTAGAAACTGCCAGTTAGATTTGCAAATGGAAAAATTATTCCATCCTTAACGATTCCATGATACAGTTCCTAATCTGTAGAATTAAAGCATACTAGTACCCGAGTGTCTCAGGGGGGAGCATGAGGAAAAATATATTAAAGACACTCTGTAACAAACTCAGTAGTTATTTCACTGTTAACCTAGCCAAACTTGCATCACTGTCCCTGTAGTAACTCAGACTGACTTAAAAAATGGACTACAGAAGACTTTAGCACACCTCATGGGAAATTCTTGCAATAAGAAAAAGCAGAATCTCCATCTATAGTGCATTCAGCTCTCACCATTTTGTGAATAGAGAAGCCAGCCGAGTCACAGTGTTAACTATCAGAGGCCTTGTTGTAAGACACTATGTTATTATCATGCTGTTTTATTTTCATTCAGCACTCATCAGAAGATCCTTGATACCTTAAGAGAAATAACCTGTCCTGAGACAAGCCCATTTAGTAGTTAAACCATTGCTGGAAAGCAGCCCAAAGAGCAGTATGACTAGAAAGTCATACTACTGAGGCCTCAGTTCACAGCTGCTATATACTGCCAGCTTGATCACACCAAGACATGTCAGCACCATTGTGTCATGTAGCTACTGCAAAGTCAAATTAAATGCATTGTGTTGAATCTCTTTCCTAGCAGTTGTGCCAATGAGTCAGGACTACTGATTAGCAAGGGCACCTTTAGTACTTTCAGCTTATGTTTTGCAGGTTGCCTTCTTAGATTGGATTGTTTTGATACTTGAATTTCCAAAAGCAATGCAGACAGAGGGTGACACTAGATGGGAATGAGCATCCGTATCCCAGAGAAGCAACAGGTGCAAGTAGTACTATTTAGAGCCAGAATACAGGGCAGTCGTGATAAGGCAGTGCACCTACAGCTTTGGCAAGCCTCCAAGAAAGGGATATGCCATTGTTACTCCAATAACGAACTGAGTTAACATTGCAATCTG